TTCGAGTTCTACAGATTATTGACGGTTCTGCAAGAGTGTGCTGAACAACAGCAAATCCTCAACCCCTCCTCTATTCAATCAACTGGCATCTACAGCAGAGACGGTTGAATGCTTTGCTCGGAAATTCTCTCCCAGTTTAACACGAGACTCATTTGGAGCACTCATATCTGATTTCCACCCTGAGGCTCCAATGAGTGATATGAGCATAACCCGGTCACTGGTCACGGAAATCATATCTAAATTAGGCTCCTATAAGGCAAGTAGAGGTGACGGGATCCCAGCCGTCGTTTCTAAAGAAATGTGCTCCAGAGTTGGCTCCAGTTCTCTCTAAACTCTGCAACTATTGCCTCGCTGTTTCCTCCTTTTCAGCTTGTTGGAACTCTTCCTCTGTAGTTTCTAATTTTAAGAACTCAGGAGAACCCTCTGACCCTTCAAACTATCGGCCTCTTAGTCTCTTACCGCTTTTCGGCAAAGTATTCGAGTCTTTAATGAATGCCGATGTAGTTAAGCATCTTATCTCTCACTACCTTACATCAAGTTCTTGATAACGGCGAAGCTCGAACTGTAGCACTAGATATCTCAAAGGCGGTTGACAGCGTTTGGCACGTTGGTCTTTTACTTAAGCTCTAGGGCTACGGTATTACAGGACGATTGTTTGATTTAATCCAATCATTCCTTGTGAAATAAAGGTCGTTATTAACCGTCTCACTCCCAGATCCTTTCACACGAACGCGAGTTTTCCCCCAGGCTCTATCTTGGTTCCTACGCTGTTTCAATTGCGTACGTATGCACGCAACGACACATGGATTCGCATATACGGCCCAGTAACACACTGTTCATATATGTTTATGTTTGTGTGAGCTGCAATGCGTGAACGTACGTGCATGTATGTCTGCGTACGTATGAATGGATTTCCGACGACAATTTTCCCCCCCACTACCATAAAACACCGATATATGTAACCTTAAAAAAATCTCAAATTTCAAAAATTAAACAGTTTGTCTGACGATCGCAGAGAGTGTGAAACCCATCAATCCACCTAAATATATCCATATATACATATATATATATATATATATATATATATATATATAGTGATATCATTGTGATATGATTTGGCCATTAGCAACCCTGCCAGTGCCTTACCGTCATGACAATCGGAATTCTCCAATTACCAAGGGTGGTTCTTATCATTGAATCATGACAGTCTGATGATGAGGGAGATTCAACAGGAGATGTAATCTTGTAGTGGTCATGGAATTATTGGTGCATTCGTGTAGTTTGAAGGACATGCTTGAGTCTTATAAGAATCTCGTCAGGCTACATTTTAAAGTGAAGAAGATGTACGTCAAGGGAATTCTTTGCTCAACATGTACAGTTATAGAAAATAGGATTTTTGTGAAGAACATACGATTTTAGCTGAAGCGAAAGGAGCTGACATTAAGATATTAGAAACGCTTGTTTCAAGGAATTTGACAGACAATTTACAATATCCTTACAGTTTTCTAAGGCTCTAAGAGAGTGTCGTAACTGTTAATTTCTCCTCAAAGGAAAACGTGTTTAAAAGAAAGTTTCGTGTTCAAATACACAATATATATATATATATATATATATATATATATATATATATATATATATGTGTGTGTGTGTGTGTGTGTGTGTTTTCCCTAGAGAACACTACGGTTCTCTAACTCTCAGTAGGCTCACATCACAACTCACCTGATTTATATATATATATATATATATATATATATATATTAGTAATCAAAAATACTTGTATAGACGTTAGGGGCGGGTTCCTCACAACCAAACAAGGATAGAAGTCCTAATAAACATATGTCCGCAAATCCTTTGTTTTGAGTTAAGTGTAGATAAAGTTAACCGTAGATAGCGCTTTGTTCCCATTTAGACTTGGTTACATTTGTCATTCGTGCACATTTGTGGCTACTCTGTCTTCAATGTTTAACGTGTGTAATAGTGACTTAGCTGAGAAGTGTTCCGTTTAACAATGACAGGATAGTCATATTGTCAGCAGGTAGACATGATTTTAACATAAGGCCTCTCAAATGGTATCGGATGCGAGGCAGCACGGCTGTATGAGATTCTGTTTCCAAATCGAAGGCAGCCGAGTCATCCAAAATTTGCCGTTGGTTATCGTCGTGTTGCTGAGACAGGATTCGTGGCCTCGAAATTTGTAAAAGTATTTTTTGGATTGTATATTGGATTGTATATTTAACAGTGTCTAACATAAGCTAAAAAACGAAGGATTTACGGACATATGTTTATGTAGACTTTTGTCCTGGTTTTTTTTATCCTGCAACTACAAGATTTTGTTGAGAAGTGATGTTCATAAAGAAAGAATTCATCTTTTTGAATCATTAAAAGTAAAAAAAAAAATTCAATGAAATAAAAGAATAAAAAAACAATATATTACCATTCTGTTCTCAAAATGTAGTAATAAAATTGTTTCGTATGGAGTCACGACATGTTGTGTTTTGTTATAACAATAACAATGCAATATTGGATTACTAATAAATGAGACCAGGTTGCGTAAACGATAATTCCAACAATTTGTATTGTCACACACACACAAACATATATATATATATATATATATATATATATATATATATATATATATATATTATTTGTGTATTTAGGCAGTAATCCTTCTTTCATGCACATTTAAATGTCCATTAAGAATTTGTATTCCTGATCAATCAAAGTTCGTAGATAATTGTATAGGCCATTCTACAACATGTTTGACACGAAGACTCACTCTACACCTTTCTGACCATAGCTCAATTAGATCTCATTTAAATATTCATGGAGACCTACCGGACCCTATTCATGACATACTTGTTGACAACACAAATATAATAACATCATCTACATGCAAAAAAAGACTAAAAATATCAGAGGCCTTATTAATAAAAGAAAAAAAAACACTCAATAATATCAACTATAAACATGGACACAATAATGACCGTGTTTTGAAAATGAAAACATTATATAAATACATACACACAACAAACTATCTCTTGTTAACAGTTAATATATTTCAACCTTGAAAATGGTTAAATGTATAGACGAAAGCGCTCGGAAAAAGAGCATTCGGACAGTTTTTATATAATTTATCATCTGAAAAGAAAAAACATTATTAGATCACCTGAAAGATTATATAAAAAACTAAATCAAAGCACCTTGTCTGTCGTATTCAATGAAAATATATATATATATATATATATATATATATATATAAAGAGTACCTACTACTACACAATGATTTGCAAGAATTCCGGTGTTGTACCACGTTTAGTAAATAAAATAATATATGAAATATTAAATACAAAATATGCCAACATTTTTGCTTTTTATTCTTTCCAAGATTTTTTTCTTTGATCGACACGTTTATTTTAATTTATACGTATTTCTGTTCTTTTATATGACGAAATAAGAGTCTACTGTCAGGTTAGTAAGTTTAGACTTGATCGTCTAAAAGTAAGCGTGTATAATACCTACAGCCTAGATAATACCTACAGCCTAGATAATACCTACAGCCTAGATAATAATTACCGTGAAGCTGAATAACATAAAACGAAACTTAATTTTTTACCAATTTATAAATTCTCTAAATGTCGGTTTAAAAAATCCAACAACAGAATTTTATGTTATATAGAAACTGAATCTAATTATTGCTTAGAAAAATCTGTATATCAAATTCGACGCTGTTCAAGATTTCAAATAATGCCAAAAGTAAAGCTTTTAAATAAATCTTGATAGCCAGTAGGCTTTAGGCATCGAACATTGGGCACTGAGCACTAGGTACCAGGCTCCAGACACTGTGCATTGGGCATTAGGCACCTGACACTGAGCGGCAGATAATAGGTACCAGGTATCAGACACTGTGCACCGAACTTCAGGCACTGAATGTCATGAACTAGGTACCAGGTCCCAAGCAACTGACACTGTGCACCGGGCATCAAGCATCAGGCACTGAGCACCAGGCACTAGGTACCAGGCTTCAGACACTGTGCACCGGGGATCAGGCACTGAGTGCCAGACATTAGGTACCAGGTCCCAGACCCTGTGCATCGAGCATCAGGTAACGGGTACTGAGCGCCAAGCACTAAGTACCAGGCACTGGACCCTGCACTGGGCACTAGGTACCAGGCACCAGACACTGTGAGCCGGGCTTCAGGTACCGAGCACTGGGCACCAGGTACTAAGCACCAGGTACCGAGCACTGAGCGCCAGGCACCAGACACTGTGCGCTGGACACAGAGCGCCAGGCACCAGACACTGTGCGCTGGACACAGAGCGCCGGGCACCAGGCTCGAGAAACCAGCATCGGGTATCATGCACCAGACATCGACCACTGGACACCAGACATTTGGTATCAGACACCCGACATCAGACATCAAGTATCAGTCACCGGGCGCCAGAGACCAAACAATAGACACCAGACATCAGCAACCAGAAACTGTGCACCGGGCACCAGGCGTCAGACACTAGACATTAGGCAGATCCTCGTCATCTCTGAGACTGATAGATTGCTACTCACGCTATTTGGTTTTGTGCTAAGCTTCTCTCACTAAATATCTACGATCCTGACTGAAGAAATTTTACTCTAACAGTTTGACAAGTTTTTCGTGAGTTTTTTTGTTTTAATTTTTTTTAATTTATTTATTTTTTTTTTTTGAACGTATTGAAAATTAAAACGCCATATTTTTGTCGACTTCCTTCCAGGGAAACGTGTTATTCTCTTGATACAATCTCACGCGTGGAAAAGAAAAGTAAAGCAAAGCAACAGGTAATTCATGCCGACATTAATTCTATGTATTTTTTATAACAATGACAAGTTCTCTTCTTTTGATTGCTGAATTCGTTTCGAAAATGAAAGAGCCAAAATATCTGCCAGGGGAATTCGACGCACGACAGATCCATCATTTCTTGTCATTTTTGTAAATATTTACACACACATGGGTACGCCCGCACACATAAGCAGAGAGAGAGAGAGAGAGAGAGAGAGAGAGTGAACAACACTCAATATTTCCATAGCCTTATACAGAGTCATTAGTAAAAATTAGATGTGAAATTTTCACTTTAAAACCTTTTGTTCTATCTGATTAATCTGTACACTAAACATTGTGTTGATGATTTTTCAAATTCTCGAGGCCCCCTATGTCAAAATCAACTCAATAAATTTATTACGAATATAGCAACAACATATTAAAATACATATAACGTTAATGCCATTTTTCATTTCTACCAATTTCCGGTCATCTCCCTTATATTGAAACGCTTGTTTTGCAAAAATTCCAATAGCGACAAAGGATAAATTTAATATTATAAAATAAATGCAAGGCGCGTCTACTCGTGTTTTTTTTAATCACCATCGCAACCGAATAAAGATTTTACCGCAGTTACAAATATTGTCTTTGTAATTTAACCCTGAAGATGATCTTGGAAAAGATCGAAAATACTTGGGTTAACAAAATCAATTTCATCTTAAAATCAAGAAAGTGATTAGAAAATTGGGAAGGATCAGTATAAAAATAAGTAGACACAATGTGTCGATATTATTCAATGAAACATGTATGAATGAAGATTGCTACCTATATATATATATATATATATATATATATATATGGGGGGGTATGAAAAATATGAAACGAATGAATTTGCATTTCCAAATGGAGCATCTTTTGTTAGTTGAGATAAGAGCAGAGGCGATTTTGGAACTCTGAAAGTGGAGAGGCCACTTGGGGGCCGAAATTTTCCTGTGGAGGAGGGGGGGGCAAATTCAAGCAGCGTCTTTATTTTCATATTACACCACTATCGTATGCACAACTTAGGAATGAGTTTTAGTATCAGTATGTTACTTCACTAAATTAAACGGAATAACTTTTCATTCATAGAAGTGGAGTTCTAATCTATTCTTGCCCTCTTTTCCAATCTGAAGCTGTTGGACCACAAGAGATGTTTAACCTCAAAACAAAATCAAAGGGTTAATACTATGGTCAATACTAACAGACGAGTGTAATTTGTCTGATCTGATTTTTTCCTCTACAAAACTTAGAAAAGTGTCGGTGGGGGTCAACCGACGGACCAGTCAAAATTCGTGTGTGTGGGGGGGGCTTCTCTCCCACCCCGTAGAATCGCCACTGGATAAGGAATGAAGGAACAGTGAGAGAAGCAGTATAGGATCAGCGAGAGAGAAAAGGAGATTTTGTTTATAGAAACAGCGTTTATAATTCCATTACTGTTCAAATTTTTCTCATCTGCATTTCCAAAGTAAATAAGTAAGCCCCTTATTTCTTAGATTCTAGGGTTTTGGTTTTTAGTCAGGTTGAAGGCCTGAAACTTTTAAAAAGGTCGAATTTGGTTTCAACATGTAGTCAGTCTAAGTAATCTTGACGATCAATGCAGTCAGTCTTAGGCAAACGTGAAAAAGAAATGATTTTTAAGTTCTTACTTGATACGTTCTTTTGTTTCGACATCAAACTGTTGTTGTCGTCGGAAAACATCGTTGAGTATCTGTATCTCTTCATTGGAAAGGCCCGTAAGATCAGGCATTGGAGGACAGAGTGGCGCCATTCCCATACGAAGATCAGGATCTTCATTTGGAAATTCTGGCCTCTGCAATGAGTCTTCAAGTTTTCTGGCCTGCTCATCTTGGGGAGGACTGTCCCTTCCCTTTCCAAACCCTAAAACCTGAGAAAAGTCAAAACATTGAAATATTGAAACGAATAAATGCAAATAGAAGTGGACAATTTTATTTCTGACAAACATATTAGTTATATTAAGTGGCGATATGTACATGTAAGATTTGTTCAACAAATGCACCATATCTTTGATGCCCTCTAATGGATTACATATACAGTGAGAGAGCGTGTATTAGAAACATTTATACGGATTAAATAGTAAATTTTTCATAGTAACGCGTTAAATGATATAGTGAATATAACAAGAAACACACACACGTATATATATGAGATAACGATATATAAATTTGTATATATCAAGAACAATAATGTGGAAAAATTTTATGACAAAGTGGTAAAGGTTTTTGTGTGGCGGGTATCGTTCTTTAAATTTGTTACTTTGGTGCGACAGCACATGCGCACGAACGAGGAATGCTGGGAATTTTTTTTTTTTTTTTTTTTGCATATAATGTAACCGATTTTATTTAGATTCTTTTTCTTTTTGTTTCATCACTTCTGTTATTTGATATCCCTCACTGTGATAATAGAAAATCTGGCTGGAATGGTGAAATGCAGAAGATAGATATATAGATAGATAGATAGTTAGATAGATAAAACAATTTACGGCATAAAATATTTAAAAAACCAACCTTTCTGCTACTGCGGTTTCTATCAATTTGCTATCGTCAGACATTAAAAAAAACTTCTTACGACCTGACAATGCTAAATTGATAGAAACTGCGGTATCAGGAAGGTTGGTTTTCTAAAGATTTTAAATCGTAAATTGCTGTATATTTTCATTTTTTGAAATTCTCTTGAGCCCTGTTTGCGTTAGTTTAACCGATCCTTGACAAATTTGACAACCGTTTTTTTGTCAAACGTTTGATTTTTAGAATTAAAAAGATCTAAAATAAAATTACTAAAATTAAAAAGATCTAAAATAAATTACTTTTTATCATTGGGTTAACCCAATGATAAAAAGTAATTTATTTTAGTCAGCAAACATTTTTCAACAAAAATCATAATTTAATAATTATTTATTATCTGCTACAAAACTTATGCAAAATAATGTTTTAAGAGAGATGCCTAGATATTAACAAAAATATATATTGGTCACTACGCGGACTCACAGAAGAATTAGTATTAGCTTACTCTTGGTCCATCTTGGTTTTGTTGTTTAACGTCTTCCCTCAGAGTTGAGAACGAATGAAAAACAACCATAGCAATATTTGTGCAAACGGACTTTGATGTTTTAGCTTAGGTTGAACACGTTTCAAACCTCAAGCTATATGCTGAACATCGAAAGGGCTTTTCAATGGATAAGAATTAAAGTATTCCTTATTGACAAAGATGGTTGAGATAATATAGGGTGCGATTAATATGTCGTCTAAATTACGTAAAAATGAAAATAACACTGACATCTCATTTTATTAGATATATTTACCAAAATGACACAAAAATATTTTTAAATACTAAAGAGTACATTTATTCAATAAAATCCCCATTGGCTTCAACCACAACCTCCAGACAATTTTGGAATCTCTTGCAACGCTTCTTCTAGTGTGGCATGGTGCAAAGTCCTATTTCTAGGAATAGGGTCTACCAGCAGCCACCCTCATGACACAGGGCAGTACTTCCTGCTAAAGGCAATTGATGTAGGCCTTTGTGTTGAGACTGTGGCCCTGTGGGAAGATTAATGGAGACATAACGTCGTCATCACTACTGATAAATTCAAACACCTTCATAATCACCATTAAACGCATCCAACACTTTCCGAATCCTCTGCACTGACTTAGATTGACAAAAATTCTGAAATATTTGAATTGGAGTTTCAGGCGTGAATGACATGAGATATAGCATGCCGTTTCGAAATTTCTGACGAAGGGAATCCTGTCATGTCGCTCTTTTTCTCACAGACTGTACCCAACTGACCCTAGTGTACCGTGCAGTCGACAAAATCAAAAACAAACAACAAATATATAAAATGGCGACAATTTACCTATCGTACTCTGTATACATTTTTGCACTAGTGAATGACATCGAATTAAATTGGAATCGTACAGAGATGATTAATAAATAGAAGTCAATGTATGAAAAAACATGCAGAAGGTTGTATGCAACATCGTGGTTACAAATATATTCTCTGACAAAAAAACGTTTCAGTGCGTGTGTAAAGTAACCCAATGCTTTGCTTAATAACGTATGCTTGTGGCGACTGAGGATTTGTCATAAACGGCTCCAGCGGCGGTCATGAGATTCGAAGTTGTGCAGCTGCTCAAAATCCTAAAATTTAATTTATTAGCAGTTCTGGCGTTCTGCAGCTGAATTATACTGCACCCTTATAGGATTAAACGATTTTTTTAAAAGAATTTAAAAAAAAAAAAAAGAACTTGATACACATTGGCCATGTTTTTAGCTTAAATATCAATGTCCGAGTTCAGATAAAAGCTAGGATTTCCAGTGCTGATCATCTAGGTAAACAGGGTTTATTCCTTTTTATTTATCCATAATTACGTCTATGTAGTTTATACAACTTTGAGGAAGCTTCTTCAAAAATCAGAATGATCAGAACCTGGAAAATGATCTCTCTTCCGACCGAGCTGTAACAGCTCAATATGCGAAAACTAGATAGTAACTTTCAATACCTCAAAAACAAGGGTAAGCTCAGACAAAAAAAAAAAAGTATTGTTGCCGTATCTGGATTGAACCAGCCCAATGCTCACTTTCCACAGTGCAAAGTCGTTTACACGGCTGTATAGGCGATGACATTCTCCAGCGACAACCGCTTTCCCATATACGAAATTTCGGAATCCTATCTATACTTACATGGCACATGTGCAGACGATCTCCATTTTTTAGGGTCACCTCCATTTACCCCATGTATTTCTTTGGTAAGAACGGCGTTCCACCCAGAAAGCTTCTCACGAAGAACTGCTAATTTATGAAACATTTAAATCTTAACCTCTTCAATTTTATTGCTTAATCATTATCTGTCCTCTATATCCTTATAGTATTCAGTTGCTACTCTTCCTACGTTCATATCAAGCACCTGCAAAGTCTATCTGTATTCGGGACCATGGTCGGTCCGTTTTAGGCCAAGGACTATATTTGATTAGGGTGCCTTAGCTGCCAAGGCACGGCCTTTACAGGATTTTACGATGTTTCCGATATCTTTATCCATGTTCGTCCAGTACACATAAGGATTTCCATCCTTGTAATCCCTGGGCGGTCGGCATGGAAATTTTTCAGACTTCTTCTTTGTAGCGTTGTAGGAATGAGGAATCGATCACTATATAGCAGTACTTCGTCGCATAGGAACATTTAGAGCTTCTCGTTTGATTTGGTCGAGAGT